GATCGCAGGGGAGTGGTACTGGTGCCTCGGGAGAGGAAAGAGCTGTTCCCTGCCTCCTGGCTGCTGTGCCTGTGTCCACTACCTGAGCCAGTGGGCCGGTCACACAGCTATAAGTTTTTGTCCCAGAGCAGCCATATATGAATCCCTGCTTTGCACAAGCAGCTGGAATCCCAGTCACCCCAGGAACTCTGCCTGTATTAACTTTCCAACCCAGTAGTCATGTGAGTCTCATCAAAGCACCATGAAATGTAGGTTTTTGCTCCCAGAGCAGATCTCTGGAGCTAGGTATTCAGCAGTCCCAAACCTTCCACTACCTTCCTGCTCTGTTTCTCTTACTCCTGTGGTGAGCTGGGGTGGGAGAGGGGCTCGGGTCCAGTGGAACCACAGCTCTGGTATGTTACCCCATTCGGTAAGGTCTGCTCTTTTCTCCAGGTATATGCAGTCTGGCGCCAGCCTCTTTCCTGTTGCTCTCTCAGGATTAGTTGGACCAATTAAATTTTCTATTTGTATCCAGTTTTAGGAGGAAGCCTCTGTCTCTCCTCTCATGCTGCCATGTTTAATCCAATCTCTGTTAAGAGTTTTTATCATGAATGGATGTTTTATTTTGTTGAATGCTTTTTCAGTATCTATGGAGATGATCATGTGATTTTTGTCCTTTTTGTTGATGTGGTGGATGATGTTGATGGATTTTCAAATGTTGTACCATCCTTGCATCCCTGAGGTGAATCCCTCTTGATCATGGTGTATGATCTTCATGATGTATTTTTGAATTCGGTTTGCTAATATTTTGTTGAGTATTTTTGCATCTATTTTCATCAGGGATATTTGTCTGTAATTTTCTTTGATTTTGCTTATTTTGTTTTAATTTCATACTTGCTTGGTAATTAGTTGGTTTAGTGTCTTTACTGTGGATTAATTTTTAGTGTTGAAGCTATTTAGCTGTAGGGACCTTCCCACCTACGGAAGTCCCTTTACCATATCCTGTAAGGCTGGCTTAGTGGTGGTGAATTCGTTTACCTCTTGTTTATTTGGAAGTTGTTTACTACCTGCTTGAAATGTGAATGATAATCATGCCTGGTAGAGGATCCTTAGTTGGAGGTCCTTGTGTTCGGTACATTAAATCTGTCATGTCACTCCCTTCTGGCCTATAGAGTTTCTGTCGAGAGGTCTGCTGATAGCCTGATGTGATTCCCTTTATAAATAATATTTTTTTCTTTGTATGAATGCTTTCAACACTCTCTTTATCCTTGATATTGCCATTTTAATTGTTCTGTGTCTTGGTGTTCTCTTCTTGGAGTTCCTTTTGTTAGGGGCTCTCTGTGCTTCTGTGACCTGAGTGTCAATTTCCTTCTCCAAACTGGGGAATTTCTCAACAATAATTTCCTTAAAGAGGCTTTCAAACCCTTTGTCTCCTTCTCCTTCTGTTATCCCTATCATGCAAATAAGGTATCATTTGCATTTCTCACATGGGTCTTTTATCATGCTTTTTTCTCTCTGTTCCTCATCTTTTTGTTTTCCTGTTCCCTAATTTCCATCTCATTTACCATCTCCTCTACCTGCCCGAATCTACTCTTAAATCCCACCAGTGTGTTTCATTTCAAATACTGTACACTTGAGCTCTGAGTGGCTCTATCTCAGATCATCTATCTCTTTGTTGACATCTTCCTTGAGATCATGAATACTTTTCTGAAAATTTGTGAGTGTGTTTAAGACTTTTATTTTGGAATCTTTATCAAGAATACTGGTGATCTCTCTTTCATTTAACTCTCATTGTGGAGTCTGTCCTGTAGTCTTGTTTGAATCATATTCCTCTGTCTCCTCATTTTGTCAGGGTTTCTGTGTTTCCTCTTTATATTAGATGGCTCTGCTCTGCTTCCAGGCCTATAGAGTCATAGCTTTATGATGAAAGCATCTAAGGTTCCCAGAAGCCTGGGGTTCTTCACTAACTAGTGCCTGATTTTATTCTGAAGGACTGCCATCTTTTTCTGTGCAGTGGGCAGGGTATAGTCTTTCTGTCTGTGCTGGCAGTTTGCTTCAGCTGCTGCCTTTGTGATCGGCCCAGGAGCATCTTTCAAGCTCTGTGAAGGCAGGGCTGCCCTCTGTCTGACCTGCAGCAATGGTGAGGCTGCAAGGTTAATGGATTGGGCAGACTGATGTGTGGCTCTGCCCCAGCCAGACACACAGCCCTAGGTTTTGACACACACAGGGAGGAGGGATCTCTTGGGTCTGACTCCTGTAGGCACCTGCCCGGTTGGGCTGAAATGGAGCCTAGGACATTGGGAGAGTCTCCCTCCACCTGCCAGGCCACAAAGCCTTATGCTGCTGATGGACCAAGCCAGTTTGCTCCCAGCACCACACAGGGAGGAGCCACAGGGCTGTGTTGCCAGCTAGGGAGACAGGGCATCTGGGGCTCCCAAGAGTTCCTAGTCTGTTGGGCCGAGGAAGTGCTGGGGTTGGCTGTCGTCCACCTGCCCTTTCTCCTGAGGAGAAAGTTCCATCCAACTCTCATCCCTCTGGCCCCCCTCCCACTGCTGGCAAGTCTCTCAAGCTGCTACTTCTGATTTGGGTCTCAGGGCTGGTGGAGCATGCCCTTCCACCACAGTGGCTGGGGTCTCAGCCTCCTAGAGTGTCCTGCCCATCCCTGGTGTCCAGCCCTGCTGATCACCAGAACCCAGTGTAACGTGGGCTCATGCTCCAGAGCAGACCTCCAGGGACAGCTGCGCAGCCCTCCTGAGCCCCTCACACCTTGCCGCTCTGTTCCTCTTCCTTCCGCCTGGTGACGGGGGCCAGGGGGAGTTGGGGCTTGGCTCCCTCTTGCTCTTGACTCTGCCACTTCACCATTTGCTGTGTGGTCGTGTCTTCTCCCCCAGGTGTGGGTCGTCTGTTCTCCTGTCTTCAGTGCACTTTCAGGGGTAGTTGTATTTGCTATATTTTCTTCTTTTATGTGTTTTTGGAGGGAGGTTTTCTCCTTGCCTTCCTACTCTGCAATCTTTCCCTGGAAACTCCTGTGGAGCATTTCACACTGCATGGCAGTGGGTTCTCCTTACTCATGGTAGTTCTGCTCTACAAAGTTGCTTCAGACACAAAATTAACAGATCTTGAATCATTGCTCCTGGAGAAAATCACAGGCTGAGGTTTGTGCAAGTCTGGCCACAACGCTTTTGTCCCCCAGTCTACATATAACCTTGTTTTGTGTGTGTTTCTGTTTAAAAATATCTCGTCTACTGTGGACTCATGGGCATTGAGCTCACAACCAACAGCCCCATAGTTCAGCCTGAACACAACTCATCTAACACACGTATCTTCTCCCAAAGACACATCACAGGATTCTTGTACTTAGGACACTTACAGAGCTTCAGCACTGGGGCCACTTCAAATCAGAGCCAGTTCATCCCAAACTACAAATAATGTGAAAAATACGTTCATAAATAGACTGTGAAGAGGGTACCTGTTTACATTAGAATTGGAACAAGAAGGCAGAGCACTGCCTTGTGTGACCTCAACTAAAAATGTGCTTTGGCAGCTCACCTTTTTGCTGTTCTGTGGCTCTCTGAGAATGACCATGATGGCATGGGAGCCCTCACATGGGTGCCCCAAGTGGGTGAGGCACAAATAGTGACGGGTGTTCGTCTGTCATGCAGAGTGAACAGCTGCAGATGCAGGGGCCACTTACAGGGACCTAGGGGACTGTGCTGTCACACTCCCTGCCAGTGACAGGAAGATGTCCATTAGCAGAAAACCCATGTACTTAGCAAAGTATAGCTTCTTAGTGAGCTAAAGTATGCCTTGAGGAATGTAACTTGGTCCTTGGTCTTCCCATGTGATGGGCCATCCTCATTGGTCAGTGTCACTACTGTCCCCTCATTGATGGGGTATGCGGTCTTTATTTTTCTTCTTCCTAGTGATGTGTTCCAAGGACCTCAGTCACGCTGTGGGAATGGGGAGAAGAGGGAGCTGGAGAGCTGAAGTGGGGAAAGGAGGCTGAGTGAGGCACCGTGGCAGGTTTGGGTGCAGAGGAGCTGGGCAGACAGAGGGTGTGAGTGCATTGGGCTGATGAGAAGACCTCCAGGAGGGAAGACGCAGGGGGGCCCCCAGGACCTGGCCCTTCTCCTTGACCCACGTCATCCAGCTCCTGTCTGTAGGAATTGTGTCCATGAACATTTTGTGTGTGTGGTGCATGTGGTGCGAGGACTTCTCTTTTCTTGGAGGACAGTAAGGTCCCAGGGGAGAACAGGCTGCCCTACCTGTCCCAGTGCCCTTCAATGGTGCCTCCCACCTCTATCACTCAAGCCGTGTTCTCCAGGACAGAGGATATTTCTGGGTTGGCTTAGGGTTTTTCTGGCCAAACAGTTTACTTGAGTCCCCTTCCTTATGTGACAGTTTATGGGGCTTAGTTTTCAAGGTGACAGCAGCACACTGGGGGCTTCCAGATCCTTGCATTTGCCATTGAGGATCTTCTCTGTTTAGCCTAGTATTTACCTGAAACTTTCTTTTTCAGCTCATGAGAAATGCAGCACATGTGAATCTTGATGAGAGAGAGGCCAGTGCATGTCTTCTCTGCGCAGTGATGGTGCCAAGCCCCTGCCCTGCCCATCAGGAGAGGTGAGTGCCCCGGGGGCAGGGATGCGTGTTGGTGGAGTGGATATGAGAACATGGGTTAGACGGCAAGCATGAAGCCATGAGAAGGCAGTTCATTATGTTAAAAAAGAAAGAAAAAACACCAATACTGTTCACAGCCATAACACAGGCTTCTGTACAGGAAATGGGGGAGCTCAAGAGCAGAGAGAAAACCCAAAAATTACTGCCCAGAAGCCTCTTGTCACTACATCAGAATGTCCTGAAAGTTAAGATGCTCCTGTTGAAAGTCAGTCTTTTTTTTTGAAAATTATAGATACTAAAGTTGTTTTTGTTTTTGTTATCATTAATTTACAGTTACATGAGAAACATTGTTTATTAGACTCCCCCCACCACCAAGTCCCCCGACATAGCCCATTACAGTCACTGTCCATCAACATAGTAAGATGCTGTAGAATCACTACTTGTCTTCTCTGTGTTGTACAGCCCTCCCTATGACCCCCCTACATTATGTGTGCTAATAGTAATGGCCCCCACTTTCTTCCCCTTCTCCCTCCCTTCCCACCCATCCTCCCCAGTACTCCCCATTTGGTAACTGTTGGTCCATTCTTGGGTTCTGTGAGTCTGCTACTGTTTTGTTCCTTCAGTTTTTTTTTCTTTGTTCTTATGCTCCACAGATGAGTGAAATCATTTGGCACTTGTCTTTCTCTGCCTAGCTTATTTCACTGAACATAATACCCTCTAGCTCCATTCATGTTGTTGCAAATGGTAGGATTTGTTTTGTTCTTATGGCTGAATAATATTCCATTGTGTATGTGTACCACATCTTCTTTATCTATTCATCTACTCATGGACCGTTAGGTTGCTTCCATTTCTTTGCTATTGTAAACAGTGCTGCAATAAACAAAGGGCTGCATATGTCATTTTCAAACTGGGCTGCTGCATTCTTAGGGTAAATTCCCAGTAGTGGAATTCCTGGGTCAAATGGTATTTCTATTTTTAGTTATTTGAGAAACCTCCATACTGCTTTCCACAATGGCTAAACTAATTTACATTCCCAGCAGCAGTGTAGGAGGGTTCCCCTTTCTCCACATCCTCACCAGCATTTGTTGTTCCTAGTCTTTTCTAGGCCATCCTAACTAGTGTGAGGTGTTATCTTATTGTGGTTTTAATTCACGTTTCTCTGATTAGCAAGTGGAGTGTCTTTTCATGTGTCTCATGGCTAAGTGAATTTCTTCTTTGGAGAAGTGTGTGTTCAGATCGTCTGCCCATTTTTTAATTGGATTATTTGCTTTTTGTTTGTTGACTTGCGTGAGCTCTTTATATATTTTGGATGTCAATCCTTTATCGGATCTGTCATTTATGAATATATTCTCCCATACTGTAGGATTCCTTTTTGTTCTATTGATGGTGGAAAGTCACTCTTAAGAGGTTTTTTGTAGTTGGTTTGTGAGTGTGAGGTCGCACTGCCGGCCATGGCCGAGCAGCCCTCCTGGAGCTCTGCTCTGAGCTCCCATCACCAGGAGCTCACTGGGGCTCCCACATGACATGAGATGAAGCCTGGGCCTGAATCCTCCTGCTTGCATTCGACCTTCATAAGGTCCCTTCTCCCTTGTGTTCTCTCATCACTAAGTGGTTGTGAGCTGGGCCCCAAGCGTTTGATGGATCTGGGGGTAGGATGCATTGGAGGGTCTGGGACGCGGCAGTGGCCATGGCCCCTACCAACCTCCTGTCAGTCCTGCATCAGATCCGGGGGTCCAGGTAAGGTCATGAGCAGATGCCCTGTGACCTCCTCTGCTGGGAGATTGTTACAATGGTGAATGGACAGCCGGGCCCAGTGAGGTGAATTCATTTCCTGAGGTGCCCTGGCTTTAAGGAACGGAAGTGTGTGATGTGAACCCAGTACTCTCTGTCTCTGAAATCTGTGGTCTTAGCCACTATATGTACTTCACTGCTATTAAAAAGACATTTTTATACTTGATACTGATCACAATATTCAGGGCTGAAAGCATAGTCAAGATAAGGTTATGGAAGGGTTATGGAAAAAGCCAATGCATATACCCTGTGTCTACATGTCAAAAAATTATCTATACTAAATCTTTTCCATAATACCCATCTTATATATGAATTCTGAGGAGAGAATTTTTGCTGAGATGTCAAATGCAGTCAGTAGGAACAGCAGTTGTACGTACTCCGTTTTTACACCCTAAAACACTAAGAAGGAATCCGGCAAAACAGCTTTATGCTCACCAGTATGGGGCGCTTTTGATTCAATTTCAAGAGTTCATTCAGTTAACCTTTTTTTTAATCCATGAATAATTTTTACACAGTTATGTTTAATTCAGCTAGGAAAATCAACCTTTTTCAAAACAGAAACAGATTATTTTGGTGACCAAAATTCACCTGACAAATGTCATTGTTTACATTCTTGCTTTTGGCATTAATAAAAGAATAATTTCTATGGGCGTTCCATGTACTGGGATCTCTTCTGACTCCAGAATTTCATAGAATGAGAAATGGATTGTTAGGAAAATCTGAAGCTTGTATTAAAAGTTTAATTCACTATACAGTCAAAACAATTGTGGGTGAGGAAAAGAAAATATTTTCCTCAATAAACTTTTCCTTTTAAAAATGAAATACAATTTATATCATTTGATTCCTATGCTACTTTGTCATTCAAAAAATATGCATAAAAAGGAGTTTATTCTTTTTCTCTTAATTTCTAAGGCTTAGAGAGGAAGTGGTTCCGGAAAATAATCTTTCTTAAGATTTAAAACAAACCGATAAAGAGAAAAATGATGAATAAGAAGACAGCCATGGTGACAGATCGAGCTTTTGATACCATTGTAATCCTACTTTTTACAGTTACTAGTTTAAATCTTTAGCAGTAACACATTCATTTCTATAAATACTAAAGTGAGAGAGAGGAAAAAAGTGGATTATGGAAACACATACATCAGCATAAAGCTAGTGTATTATGGGACTCAGACTGCTTAGTGCATAGGTAATCATCGAGAGCTGGTATCTCTCCAGAAGGAACTCAAAGTGAATACACTGCTACATGACCTTATTTATAGTCACAAGTAGTACGTTCAGCCATAGGAAAAGAATCCCACCAAATTAAACTTGTAAAACAAGTTTTACATTACTTTATACTTCTTTTTTGAGAGAGTATGCCTTTGATGTGAAGGTTAAGAAAAATGTTTATCTCTTTTTCCTTAAAAGAATCTTAAAGTAGGATGCAGCCTGAACCTACCTGGGAACTCCTGTAGCGAGAGGCAGCAGTCCTGACTGCCCTTTATGCTGTGGCACCAGGCTCAAAATCATGGCATACGACCACCTCACACTATGGGTTCAATTTATACAACCACTGCTTGTGCTCCCATCATGAATGACAGTTGCACTCGATATTCCAAGCGCCATGCTTTGTCCGAGGCATTTTGAATCTATTGTTGTCTTTAATCTTCATAATCATTTTACCAAGGAAGTAGGGTTTTATTCTCCCTATATTGCCATTGATGGAATCACGCCCATTGAGGTTAATTCGTTTCCTGAGGTGCCGTGGTATTGAGGAATGGAAGTGTGTGATGTGAACCCAGTACTCTCTCTCTCTGAAACCTGCGGTCTTAGCCACTACATGTACTTCATGGCTATTAAAAACACATTTTTACACTTGATACTGATCACAATATTCAGGCCTGAAAGCATAGTCAAAACGACGTTATGACAGGTTTATTGAAAAATCCAATGCATATACTCAGTGTCTGCATGTCAAAAAATTATCTATACTAAATCTTTTCACTGATTCCCATCTTAAATATGTATTCTCAGGAGAGAGTTTCTGCTGAGATGTCAAATGCAGTCAGTAGGAACAGCAGTTGTACTGACTGAGATTTTACACCCTAAAACACTGAGAAGGAATCCAGCAAACAGTTTTATGCTCACCAGCATGGGGCGCTTTTGATTAAATTTCAAGGGTTCACTCAACCTTTTTTTCAACCAGGTATAATTTTTACACTGTTATGTTTTACTCAGCTAGAAAAATCTACCTTTTTCAAAAAGGAACAGATTAATTTGGTGTCCGAAATACACCTGACAAATATCATTGTTTACATTTTTGCTTTTGGCATTAATAAAAGAATAATTTCTATGTTCGTTTCGTGTATTGGAACCTCTTCTGACTCCAGGATTTCAGAGAATGAGAACCGGATTGTTAGAGAAATCTGAAGCTTCTTTTAAAAGTTTAATTCAGTGAAGAGTTAAAACAATTGTAGGAGAGGTAAAGAAGTATATTTTCCTCAATAAACTTTTCCATAGAAAAAGGAAATGCAATTTATATCATTTGATTCCTCTGCTTGTTTGTCATTCAGAAATTATGCATAAAAAGGTATTTATTCTTTTTCTCTTAATTACTAAGGCTTAGAGAGTAAATGGTTCCTGAAAATAATCTTTCCTAAGATTTAAAAGAAGCAGAGAAAGGGAGAAATGATGAATAAGAGGAGAGCCATGGTGACAGATCGAGCTTTAGATATCATTATAATCCTCCTTTTTACAATTACTAGTTCAAATCTTTAGCAGCAACACATTCATTTAAAAAAATACTAAAATAAGAGAGAGGAAAAACGTGGTTTCTGGAAACACATAAAACAGCATAAAGCTAGTGTGTTATGGCACTAACCCTGCTTAATGCGTACTTAATCATCGAGAGATGGTCATTCTCCGGAAGGAACTCAAAATGAATACAATGCTACATGACCTTTTTGATAGCCCCAAGTAGTATGTCCAGCCACAGGAAAAGCATCCCAGCAAAATATATCTTGCAAAAAAAATTTCAAATTAATTTATAATTCTTTTTTGGGTGAGAATGCCTTTGGAAAGATCGTTAAGAAAACTGTATAAATATCTCTTTTTCCTTAAAATTATCTTAAAGTAGGATGCAGCATGAAACTCTCTGGGCACTTTTGTAGCAAGAGGCAGCAGTCGTGACTGCCCCTTATGCTGTGGCGCCAGACTCCAAATCATGGCAT